CAATGTTTGCAGTGGCTAAAAAACATTATAGTTTCCTAGTTTGTGAGTTATGGTTTGGGACTTGTTTTACTTGTTCTCTCCTTAGACATTTAAGGGGAGTTCAATGCTTCCCTGTTTATATGTTTTGTGAGGGGTGAAAAAATAAAATCCCAATTGTTCTCTGTTGGTTAAAACCTTGTTTGAATAAGGTTTTGCATTCACAAACAGAAGGGAGAAGGAAATATATATCTAATTTTTTCCTATTTGTCTAGGGCTTGTTCCATCAGTGTGAAAAGTTATTTGTGTAGTTACATCTATCACATATTCACATTCACAAATAGCAGTCTGGTAAAGCTTACACATTTAGAATGAAGCGAAGACTCATATGTGGATGAGAAAAAAAAACCAAAACCCTGGAGATTCTTTAAACTAAAAATCCTGGATAACGACTTCCAGCCTAATCACAGCTAGCCAGGTGGTGAGGTTTGAAGCTCCACATTAGTCTCTGGATAGAAAGCTTCAGTAGAAGAGCAGGAAGAAGATGAGGAAGAAGCAGAACTGCAGCAACAAGAGGCTGATGTCATCATCTTCATCATTAGGGAAGAAGGCACAGCATGGGTGTCACTATTTAGATTTCTAAAGCTTTACTGAATTCTTTCCCATTGTGCACAGGTGAGAACATGGCCCTACCCAGACACTCCTTTTAGGAGCTCACACTGAATGTGTGTGAGCACAAACCCCAAGGCTACCGAGGCCTAACCACAGAAATTAACTTCTCTTTTTGAATGCTGTAATGCTGAGAGAAGATCTTTTAATTGCCTTACCATGAGAGCACCAAAAGACAGCAAATCCTGTCTTGCATCATATGCCTTTCTAGTGGACAGCTGTGTAAAATACAATTCTTAGCTCCATTTCTGGATATAAATGTCGACAGAAAGATACACATTTTAACTCATTAGGCTGTGAAGATAATTGTTACGCAAACTATTTTGAATATATACATCATAAAGAAAATTATGTATATTTTTATATAAACACACATATTTTTATATACCCCATATGGGCTTGTGTGTGTAAAATACAGATATATACTACCCAGCTAACCAGAAGACTCAGTGAAAACTGCTTTCAAAGACACACTGAAATAAAAAACTAACATATACAATATGGAATGTTACCACATGGCTGAGGATGTGTTTAAGTTACCATATAGCATTAAAGCAAAATAAATCTCTCTTACTTCAATATTCACGTGTCTGAGGGGGAATTGCAGGCTTTCTTCCTTTATTTTACTTTCAATTTTCTTCACTTAACTATTGAACCAGAGTGTCAATAGTGAAATCTGTGTGTCAGAGAACTCGATAAATTCAGAATAATTATTAAAAAGTAAAAAAAGAGAAACATACTTAATCTCAAAATAATATGCTGTAAAATAAAGCATTATTATACCTGCAATGATGTCATCCATCTGCTCCAAAGCTGCCTCCAGCATATGACTCGCGTCAGAAGCCATCATCTGGGATTTCTTCAGATCTCTGCTCTTTCTACTGAAAAGACAGATGAAACCATGTGTATTACACTAAATAACCTGACAGAAAAATATGTCACTGTTACACTATAAATCAAGCCACAGAAACAGAAGTCCATGCTAGCAAAAATACAGCCCAGTAAGAAGAAAACTAACAAAAAAACTGTTTCTATTCTTGATAGATGACTTGGGATTTCTGAGGTTTTAATTCATCATTGATTCATTTTTTGAAGAGACTTTACTAAAACAAGGAAAACAAAACCAAACAACCTCAAATACTGGAAGCTTGAGATGCCCCTACTCCTCATCCTTAACAATGGCTTCCTAGATTCAAATTCAGTGCATCTCAACCTTTTGCTCTGTGGGAAAAAAAGTGGATTGACTAGGTTTCAATAAAGGAATGGAGACATGGGGAAAAACACACCTAACCATAAACAAAACTCTCCTTTTTGATTGCTGCCTCAAGAGTAAAGACAATTCTGAAAGTTTTTACTCCTCCTTTCTGTATCCCTATTCAGTCTTTCCACCACTTCTTTCATGACACTGAAAATACAATTCTTTCCGTTCAAATAACAAAAATGCCCCAGGTGTGAATTGTCTGAAGTTACTGCTGCCTCTTTAAAACAGCATTAAATACATTCATGTTACCGTCTGCGATCTCCAATCAACCACAACCACAGTAAGAGAAAGATTCCAGGCAAACCTTCAAACTAGGCTTGAAAACCATTCCACAGATTCTGCAGATTCCTCTCCTGAAGCAATTTGGCATCATATTAAAAGCTGCATCCTGCAATCCTCTGAAGAATCCTTAGGGTTCTCCCTCAAGAAGAACAAAGATTGGTTTGATGAAAACAATCAAGAAATCCAGGAATTGTTGAGGAAGAAGAGAACTGCCCACCAAGCACATCTTGCACTGCCATCCTGTCCCGCAAGAAAAGCAGCCTTTCGTCTTGCATGCAGCAAACTCCAACAGAAACTCCGTGACATCCAGAACAAGTGGTGGACCGATTTAGCTGCAAAAACTCAACTTTGTGCAGATACAGGGGATCACAAAGGATTCTATGAGGCCCTGAAAACAGCATACGGACCTACATACCAAGTCCATAGCCCACTACTTAGTGCAGATGGTCAAACGCTTCTGACAGATAAAACCTCCATTCTGAATAGATGGTCTGAACACTTTCAAACTCTTTTCAGTACCAACCGTGCAGTCCAAGACTCAGCAATTCAGTCCATCACACAACAACCAGTGAAGTATGAATTGGATACTGCTCCCACTTTAGGAGAAACCCTCAAGGCCATACAGCAGGTGAAAATCGGCAAGGCAGCTGGGGTGGATGGAATCCCACCTGAAGTCTGGAAACATGGGGGCCTTGCACTCCATGCTAAATTTCATGAGCTTGTGGTGCGCTGTTGGGAACTAGGCGAACTACCTTCAGACCTTCGAGATGCAGTCATCATCACCTTGTATAAGAAGAAAGGTACTAAATCAGACTGCTCAAATTACCGTGGTATTACTCTGCTCTCCATTGCTGGCAAAATCTTAGCAAGAATACTCCTGAACAGACTAATACCCGCTATAGCAGAAGAAATTCTACCTGAAAGTCAGTGTGGCTTCAGAGCCAACAGGAGCACCACAGACATGATATTTGTTCTCAGACAACTGCAAGAGAAGTGTAGGGAACAGAACAAAGGTCTCTATGTAACCTTTGTCGACCTCACCAAGGCTTTCGATACTGTGAGCAGAAAAGGTCTTTGGCAGATTTTGGAACGTTTAGGTTGTCCCCCCAAGTTCCTTAAAATGATCATCTCACTTCATGAGGATCAGCACGGCCAAGTCAGATATGGCAACACACTTTCTGAGCCCTTTCTAATAAAGAATGGTGTGAAACAAGGCTGCGTTCTCGCTCCTACCCTTTTCACAGTCTTTTTCAGTATGATGCTCCAAAGGGCCTCGGCAGACCTCGATGATCAGGACGGTATCTACATTCGATATCGTACTGATGGAAGCCTATTCAACCTAAGGCGACTGAAGGCCCATACTAAGACCCTAAACCATCTTGTCCGGGAGCTGCTCTATGCTGATGACGCCGCCCTTGTTGCCCACACAGAAGCAGCTCTGCAGCGTTTAACATCCTGCTTTGCAGATGCTGCTGAGCTCTTTGGGCTGGAAGTCAGCTTAAAGAAGACAGAAGTTCTCCATCAGCCTGCACCTCAGGAAGTCCCCCACCATCCCCACATCACCATCGGCCAGTCAGAACTCAATTCAGTCCAACAGTTTAATTACCTAGGCAGCCTCATCTCCTCAGATGGTAAGATTGATGGGGAGATAGACAATAGGTTAGCGAAGGCATATAGTGCTTTTGGAAAACTCCATAAACGAGTATGGCGTAATAAACACTTGAAGAAAAGCACCAAGATCAGTGTTTACAGAGCCATAGTGCTGTCTACTCTTTTATATGGTTCCGAATCATGGGTCATCTACCGCCACCACCTGCGTCTCCTAGAACGCTTCCATCAACGCTGCCTCCGTACAATCCTTAACATCCATTGGTCAGACTATGTGACCAATACATCTGTTCTCGAACAGGCAGCAATTACGAGTATTGAGGCCATGTTACTGAGAACGCAACTGCGATGGGCAGGGCACGTCTCTAGGATGAAGGACCACCGCCTCCCTAAGATCCTGCTCTATGGTGAACTTGCCACTGGCTGCCGCAAGAGAGGAGCTCCAAAGAAAAGATACAAGGACTCCCTGAAGCAACAACTCAGCCTCGGGCATATTGATCACCATAACTGGTCCACTCTGGCCTCTAATCGGGAGGCCTGGAGACAGACCATTTATAACGCTGCTGATGCTTTTGAGAAAGCACGCAGGATCACTCTTGAGGAGAAAAGACAACGCAGAAAGAATCGAACCTTGCAGAATATACTATCTAAGGAGTCTTTCTGCTGTGTCTTTTGCAACCGGACATGCCTTTCTCGTATTGGCCTTTTTAGCCACCAACGCGCTTGCATGAAAAATGGGTAGAGCCCTTCCCAAATCTTCGTTCGCGAAGCCTAGCCATGATGTTACCGTCTGACATTAAGGACAACAAACAAAATCTTCCAAAATGAGTCTCTATTTGTGAGTTGGTGTTGCCGGACTCTTAGTCAAGCAGCAGTCACTGTTGTCAACATATGACATTTCAAAGGGGAAAATAATTTATGCAGCCCATTTCACTGCCAGTGAGAAAATTCCCTCTGAAATAAGGCCCTTTTGCACATCACTTCATCGCTGAAACATGAGACCAGTGCCCACACAGTGAGGAACATACTTATGCATGACTTTCACAGTGCTCTAACACACAACTCAAAATACTGACAAAGCCTACAAAGGGTCACAGTATTTTCATTTCTCTTCCATGAAGGGTGCAATTCAGTCTTTTGACATTCAGTCTTCTGACACAGCAAGTTTTAAGATCTGTATTTAAAAACTGTTCCATTTTGACAGCTTTCTAAGCCTCACAAAAGACATCTGTCTGACAATGGATAGACATATCCTTCAAATGACACAGGTTGTAGGTAAGTGCATAGGCAATGGCCCTATGTTTGTGGGGCCTATTTGTCCAATGCTACTGAAATGCCACTAATCTGTATTTATTGTGTGATTACTTACGCTAAGAAATCAAATATTTTGAATTTAAATAAATATTACAATAGTCTTTAATGGCAATTCACATAGATTTGCACTGTGTTCATCCAGTGACAGTTCAGGCACTGGCCACCAAGGCCAATTACATGACTGGTAGCTAAACCTCTCACATTTATTCTCTCAGTTGCAGCCTGACTAAACACTGGAATGTAGAATCAGCACCCAGGATAAAGTTAGCTTTAAAATAAAATCTTAATAGTTTTTTCTTTCAGTGGGACTGTCAGGGAAAAAAAAAATCTCTAAAAGTACACTTATGGCTGACTCCAAATTACTGCATCACAACTGATGTTCAGTCTCAGTATGAAGCCTGATTCAATGAAAATTTGTACTATCAAGTCAAAATTATGTTCTTCTCTTGCAAACTAAGAATCCTGAGACACAGACTTTTCTCCATAGCACTGGTGAATTATACACAAAGAAAGCTAATTTATTAGTAACCTCTGTATTATCAGTGTCCTATGTCCATGCCAGTCAATGTATATAACCCCACTATCTAGAGAGACAGATGCAGGAATGAGTCAGAAACTACAATGTTCTAATTTGAACTCTGCCATTTATAGCTTGTCATAATGGGTGAGCCATTATCTAACTTCAGATCACATTGATCTGAAGAGCAATATGAGAATGTGTTATCTTTAGTGTCACCCAAGGCAAAGATTAATGTAAATGAATGGTTGGTTCTGGACTCTCCATTTTTTTGTCAAAATAATCTTTTAAGTATGAACAATGCTAAATGTAACTGAACTTAACCAAAATACATGTCACACAAATATTTCATTTAATGGTACCGGAAATAACAAAAATTGTGCTCAGAATAATCTGGAAAGTCAGTTGATATAAACTTAAAATTTCAGAACCCCTGCACACGTGAACTCTACAGACACTCCCTCTGATTCTTTCTCCAGTTTGTTGGTTCGGGGAGATTTCCATCTTTTGTTGCCACATTTACATGCCACTAAAGACTTGAGAGATCCCTGACTCTCCACTGCAGAGAGCCTCCTTGCTTGCAGTATTTCCTCTAGTTCAAAGCAGCCACAACATCAGTAATAATCACCTTAGTGAAAGGAAATCCACCCACAGGAGCAGATGCCAGAGAGGCACCAAGGATACCCTGTGCCTCTGGCGGATGTGGCCACCAGCCACTCCCCCAGAAATGTATGGCCACCAGCTGTGCTGGTAAATCAGGACAGCAGACTGGCTCAAAATCAGGAGGAGGAAAAAGAGTGAAAAATACTAAAAATAGCATAGAGTTTCTATTTCTAGATTGCAGTCCATGCCCTTCTTTGTGCTGTAGGCTACTTCTCCACGGGCTTAAAGCAGCTAAAGCATGGCTGTTGTCACAACAAGAAATGCAGAACTACCATTTTTGTGAACATCTAATATTTTTATATCTACTATTTGACCACCTGTAGCGACAAAGGTACAGAAAATGCTGATACAAACTTGAAAATTTACTTATAGAAAAACCTTCCATCAAGACCTTGGCAAAATCCAGGAAATTTTGCTGAAAACCACCACCAGAAGTAAGTCTTCTATCTCCTCCCAGCCTCCACACTCAGCCTGTTTTCTCACCTGTACCCACAGTGTATTTGCTGCTTAACTGCACTAAGCTAGAGTAAAACCTGCTTACCAAACGATTTATTAATAAAAGCAATGTTCTTTGCTCCACAGCGATAATGTAATATTACTTGCTTGACATCTTTTTCTAGACAGACCTGTTGCTTGTGCTTCGGGCAAGTCTTACTTTCCCAGACACTCCCTTCTTACAGCTGGACTGTTCTGAGCAATATTGTGAAAACAGCTCATTAGATCTCCTGTCTTTTCAGTTACCATTTCTCATCTAGTTCTATACAAATACCTGCAATTGTGGATTCTTTTTCTAATACTATTAAATAATAAGACACCTCTATCAATCCCTCAAACAGGATTCATCTATTTGCTGGTATATTAATCACAGTTCCTTTTACAGTTTTCATTCCTGAATGACATCAACAGATGCAGAACGTGAAGACTTACTTAACTATGTAAAAATATACATATATTTGGGAAAAAAAGGTTTTTTCAGCTTTGATAAGGACTGAACAAAAACTATCCCTAATATTATAGTACAAGCTTTAATATTAGCAAGTTCTAACCTTCAGGACTTATTAGATTAATTTATATGACAGCAAAATACAAGAACCAATCTACTCACCTTTTGAGGTCCCTAAGAAGAAAAGAATTTACTTTTTTGCCTGATCAGTAAAAATTCCTCGCTATTAATAGCCAAAGTTTTACTATTAAGCAGACATAAGTCTAAATTATTACCGACCCTTCTAAGCCACACGCTCATACTAATTTAGAGCCCAGCCCACAGAGATACTGCAACCCTGTTTGTTATAATTACCTAAGTAATGAGATCTTCCAGGAAGTGCAGACAGAGCAAACTGGTCTGAATCTCTTAAACTTATTTTGCTAAGCTAGTTTTACCCTATAAGTCCCAGTCTGAGATTTGCATTTCAAATAAAATGAAAAAGCTCTGGCAGAACTATTGTGCTTAGAGTCAATATCCCTTGCAAATATCTTAACCTACATTCTGTATGTAAAACTACAGCTTACTGTGTCCAAAAAGAACATAATATTTAACAGACGTATTCACTATGAACAAGATGTTCTTCAGAATTATGAAAAGCTTTAATTAAATTTGAATCTTTCATGGTTGGCTTGAACCAGCAGCTATCCAGAGGTAAGAATGTTAACATTCAGGCAACTCAGATGTTTTCCCAAGGTTGCTTCTAAAAATGAGGTTGCCAATACTATCAGTTATGGAGAGGGGTGTGGTTTTTGACAAGAACTCCAGAAATCCAGATCTTTGGATCTTGTCTGTGGCCTACAAATTCCTCTGACGTTTAGCAGACACAGCTAACAATTAACTACCACCACCATTTTTTTCCCTAGGATGAATAAATATATGTTTGTAAACTGTTTAAATACTCAAATTCAAGTATTACGCTGCTTTGTACTTAATGGTATAATGAAATAACGAGTGCCTTGGGTAAGCTTCAGAAGTCCTCCACACTCTTCTTCAGCTGCAAGACGACTCCTGCCCTGGAATGAAGAAATGTGCACAATTTCCACCTTCGCTATTTCCCACCTTGCTTCTCCCCCAGCCACATGCTCTGTGGTATCCAGACACCCCACAGGAGCACAACTGCTGATTCATGTCTCCCACTGGCTCCGCAGGACTCATGACACCATCAACTACAAAAGTTATAAATGCATATTTGCATCCTGGCCTTTTAGAACCTGCCATAACTCTCTAATTAAGATAATCCTTAGTCCTAAATAACCATACACAGCTGCTGGGAGCAGAAGAATTCCTGATGATCACTAGAATGACCGCCTAAGGAACACTAATTATAAAGGATGCTCCAGGGCTACCCAGCCAGAAATCCTATTTATCTGACAGGCTGAGAGAGTTGGAGCTGTTCAGCCTGGAGAAGAAAAGGCTTCAGGGAGACCTTCCAGCAGCCTTCCAGTACCTAAAGGGGCTACAAAAGAGCTGGAGAGGGACTTTTTGCAAAGGCATGTAATGACAGGACAAGGGGTAATGGCCTTAATCTGAAGAAGAGTAGGTTTAAGTTAGATATTAGGAAGAAATTCTTTAATTGTGAGGGTGGTGTGGCACTGGAACAGGTTGCCCAGAGATGCTGTGGATGCCCCATCCCTGGGAGTGTTCAAGGCCAAGCTGAATGGGACTTGGTCTAATGGAAGGTGTCTCTGCCCACAGCGGGGGGGTTGGAATTAGATGATCTTTAACATCCCTTCCGATCCCAATCATTCTATAATTCTCTGATTATGGCTCAAATTCATTTTATTTCCTAATACAGGCACTACTTGTTCTATTTCCCTTTCATATGCTTCATTGGAATAGGCAGAAGGGTAAAAAATTCTTTCATTGATTACCCATTATGTAATAAATAAAAACAAGACTGTTTATTTTCAGCAAGAAAGTATGAAGTGTCCACACTAAGGCAGAGGGGAAAGTTTTATAGAGAAATACAGATTAGCCAAAGTTGAACAAAGACCTGATACTGAACTATTTCAGGTAGAACTGCTAAACTCTCTGGTCAGTATATTGCTGGGAGTCCTTATATGAGGGGACATCCTTAGGTGAAGCACAGTACAATATCTCCATGATAAAAACCAGCTAACTTAATAAGCTAAACTGGCTCATACAGGCAGGTGGGTATTACCCTGGCACTGTAAAACCACCACCTTTGTGTGCTACTGATAAAAGTTAGAGTGACAAGCACTAAGAACTACGATGCTTTTAAACATATTATGCTAAATAATTCGATTTAAGATACAAAGGGAACTGAATGTCGTTAAATTTACTGTACTATGAAGTACCAAAGGCAAAGCTGAACATTTCTTTCCAAAAACAAACCCATTAAGTTTGCTAATACAAGTCTGAAATTTGGGAGAAGGAAAAGAGAAAGCACCCTTTAAAAAATGCTATATCTGACCGATACTTTATGATGCTTTTAAGAACACAAATCACCTCACAGCAGCTCCTCCACAGGACTTGTGGATATTGAGTTACAGTTACTATTGGTACCATAACCAAATTTCATTACTCATGTTTGTACAAAGTCTCATCCTTACATATAAAAGCTGATGCTGACAGAATGGCATGTGCAAAGTGAGCTTCCTTCAGCTCCTCTCTATAACACTTCTAGCAACTGAAAACCCTTCATTCCTTTACTGTTGTTTTAAGCATTTTTTCATAAAAGCTTAATAAAGTCCTTCTTAATTTAATTTTAAATTATCAGATATTTTAAGTTTTCGGTGTTACACATGATATAAAGGAAAATGTTACAGCTTCCAACTTTGCAAATCTTCATTCATTATTTGTTACTGTATTAGGTGAAAAAACACCCTAATTATTTTAGTTCAGTACCCATCTAACTAGTTCCAACTGCTAACTAGTTAAAATTAAAAAAAAACCAACCTCACAACGAATAAATGCTTTGGATATAAACTTCAGCTGAACAAAGAATTACCTGGTAAAATACATGAGAGGAAAGTTTCTGAACCAAATTATGAACATTTCTGCTCTTAAAGTAAACACAAATATGAACGGTAAACAAAAGTCAGATTTTGTATTACAGTTCGCATTTAGTTCTAAGAGTTTTAGAATTAGAAAGAGTTAGATCCTCAAAATTCTGACATTTAAAATAAACTATGTTTATCTCTTTTTCTTCCAATCTCAGGTATTCACCGGCCTCAAGGTCACAGCTTCAAATTTTCTTCCACGAAGGTCAACATTTCAACTAGATCTTTGAAGTTACTTAACTCCAGATCCAATGCCTGGGAAGCTGCACACACCACACCTTCCCCTCACCCTCGCCCCCTGAAAGTAAATTCATGCTCTAGTAAATTGTAAGGTGAGAAGTTATAATAAAAGTAAACACAGAATTCATGCACAAATTAACTCTTTGCCCTGGAGTAAAGCAGAGGACAAACCCCTTGACAGAAATTAAGAGACATCAGATATGAATGATTAGCAAAAGTTTTCAAAGCTATCCTCTATCAAAATCCTAAAAAATTAGACAAGCTATGCTGCTGGAAAGAACACTCTTTAAACCTTGAGAATTGGGAATAATATTTCTTATGGTTCATAAATAGTTCTTGTGCTTTTTTCAAAACTCTCTGAAACAAAGGCTTTTCATCCTGGCCAGGACAACTGGATCAGGCCAGTTCCTTATGGAAAATCCTACTGTCCAATTTTCATTTGGCTTTGTGAGTTTCAGTAAGTTGTCTAAATGGAAATAAGTTGATTAGAGGGAAGGAGCACCTCTCCTATGAGGAAAGGCTGACAGAATTGGGGTTGTTCAGTCTGGGAAAGAGAAGCTTTGGGGAGACCTAATTGCAGCCTTCCAGTACATGAAGGGAGCCGACAAGGAAGATGGAGAGAGACATTTTACAAGAGCATGTAGTGACAGGACAAGGGGGAATGGATTCAGACTGAAAGAGAGTAGGTTTATATTAGATACTAGGAAGAAATTCTTTGCTGTGAGGGTGGTGAGGCACTGGAATGGGTTGCCCAGAGAAGTAGTGGATGCCCCAACCCTGCAAGTGTTCAAGGCCCGGATGGATAGGGCTCTGAGCAACCTGGTCTAGTGAAAGGTGTCCCTGACCCTGGCAGGGAGCTGGAACTAGATTATTTTTGAGGTCCCTTCCAACTCAGGCCATTCTATGATTCAGAACCAACTCAGCAGAACAAGCACTACTACTAACTTAGTTTATTAATCTAAGTACATGTGTAGAAATCCCACTAGGGATATAGAAGTGCACATAAGCTCTGTGAAACAGAGATTTTGCACTAAATTCTGCAAGTACCATTTGGAATATTAGTCTGAAAAGGCAAGATGCTTCATTGAAGGAAGCCAGTGCCAACATAGGGCCAGAAGATCTGATATCTCAAAGAAATGTAAGGAGGTCCAATTTTCAAA